ACCGTGGCCCATTTCCAACCCGACTTCATAGCTTTAACAGAAACAGTTAGATGCGCAGATAGAAGATGCGGAAGTTATGCTACATGGTTTCCAGATTCTCCGAATGGACAGAAACGAACGAAAGGGTGGGGGGGATTGCGATATTTATACGAGATGGCATCGACTACGTCAGGGTTACGTCTTCCCCATTTCGGCACATTGATTGTGAAATACTCAGTTGTTACTTGAAGGTGCCAAATCATCCAAGCCTCCACATGGCCCTGGTTTACAGACCGCCAAGCCAGCGGACGGATGCGGACGAGGCACTTATCACCGAGATAAAAGAAATTTGTCGAAGCAAAAACATAATGCTACTTGGTGACTTCAGCTGTCCAGACATAGAGTGGGATTTGATGCATTGTACGCGATCAGAAAACTCATTCGAACAGAAATTTATGCGACTGATCACAACTGAGTTCCTTACCCAACATGTTAAAGTGGACACTCGATTCAGAAATGGACAGCAGTCCAGTTGTTTGGACCTCATCATTACCAGGGATGACAGTTGCATTCTCGGATTGGAATCGCACCCGCCCCTTGGCCGAAGTGACCACTGCGTTCTTGTTTGGGGGTATAGTCATATTTCTGTACCCGAAATTCGAGCTGCTGAGGAAAGAAACGCATTGAAGGGGGATTATACCCGAATGAAAAACCTGCTACAGAAGGTGAACTGGAATGCAGCACAAGGACCTGATCCAGAAAGCGATTGGCTCTTCTTCAAGAACATAATGCAACACTTGGTAGAGAGCTGTTGCCCACTGAAGAGGAAGCCGCGCACATCCCGACCAGAGTGGGTGACGTCAGAAATAAAGAAGAACCTTAAATTGAAAAGGAGACATTGGAAAAAGTACGCCAGTTGTCAGCAACCAGAGCATTTCGCTGACTTCAAAAAACAGAGGAATGTATGTCGGAATCTGTTGAGGAGGCGACGGGCACAATTTGAGTCAAAACTATTAAAAAATATCCCGCAAAATTCAAAAAAATCTTTGGATACGTGAATAAAGCAAAACGCAACCGGGACTGCATTCCCTGCCTAAAAAATCGCCAGGGCAATACGTTGTCTGACAACTCAGATAAGGCCAATCTGTGGTCCGACTTCTTCACGTCTGTGTATACCGAGGAACCGGCTTTTGATGAAAGAGTTTGTAAGAGACAAAACCACAAGTTGGGCACAGCGAGTAGGCTATCCAGGAAACGAAAATAGCAGTATCCCAACAGTTACAAACTAATAAATAAGAACAAAGTCGTCGGCAGGTAAAAGTGCACGTGCGTGTTCTTTGTCTTATCCAAAGTTGTGTCAAAGGGTATTGTAGCTGATTAAAACAAAACAGATTTAAATGTCACTACAATACTCCCCCTCCTAGGAGAACGGAGTTCAAAAAAAATTATTGTTAATAGAAGGAAAATGTGGGAGTGTTATGCATATTGTACAAGTTGGTAACGGTCGGGAAAACGGACATGACGGCCATTGCGCGTAAGGGGAGGAGTCTGTGGGATAAGGGAAGACGCAGGGTTATTGAGCGTAAATGGAGTCTGGGAAATAGTAAGTGGCAATGTGCCAAGTGGAGGTTGTTCGGTTTGAGAAGTTGGAAGAGGCTCGGTATAAGCCGCCTTCAAGCGATCGATTGAGACCACGTCGGTGCGGCCTCCACGGTCAATTGTAAAGTGCTTGTCCTTGCGCGATAGTACTCGAAATTGGCCGTCATAGGGCTGTTGTAGTGGCAGGCGAACGCTATCTATGCGGACAAATACAAAAGAACATGTTAGTAAGTTCGGGTCGACGTACGACTTACTTGTTGAAGGACGTGGAGGAGTGGCTCGAAGATGAGTCATGGCTTGGCGCAATCTTTGCACATAATCGCTGGGATCCAAGTCGGCTGAGCTTTGAGAGTACCCGAAAAAATCACCTGGAATCCGTAGGGTAGTACCGTAGACAAGTTCGGCAGCGGAACACTCCAAGTCGGGCTTTAGTGCGGTACGGATACCGAGCATGACCAAAGACAGATGCTCGCTCCAATGGGAAGGGTTGTCATGAGCTCGGAGCGAGGCTTTGAGTTGCCGGTGGAAACGCTCGACTAAACCGTTGGATGAGGGGTGGTATGCTGTCGTGCGTATGCGAGAACATCCGAGGAGGTTGGTAAGGCTGTTAAACAGTCTAGACTCGAATTGTTGACCTCGATCGGTGGTAATGGTTGACGGGACGCCATAATGAGAAATCCAGTGTTCCAAAAAAGCATGAGCAACGGAATCTGCAGTTATGTTAGGTATGGGAGTTGCAATGGGCCAACGAGTAAATCGGTCAATCGCAGTAAGTAAGTAGTTGCAACCACGAGATGTTGGAAAGGGACCTACCAGATCGATATGAACATGTGAAAAACGTGCGTCGGGTGCGAGCAAAGTGACAATGGGGGCTTTGTTGTGCCGTCCGACTTTGGCCTTCTGACAGGCCAAACATGAACGGGTCCACTGGCGTATATCAGTGTTCATGCTTGGCAAAACGAACCGCTCGCTGACGAGACGCTGGGTAGTGCGGATGCCAGGGTGAGCTAGATTGTGCAACGCGGCAAAAACATCTCGTCTCATCTCGCTTGGCACTACGGGTCGGGAGGCACCGCGCGATACGTCACACAAGATTGTACCAGGGATGGTGGAAAGAGGAATGGCTTCGAGTTGAAGACTAGTGTATTGAAGGCTCTCACTTAACGTCGGCTGATTTTGTAGTTCTGCCATGCGCTCCAAATCGATGGAAGGGTGGGTGATGGCATTAATGCCAGGCCGAGAAAGACAGTCAGCAACTTGGTTATAAAGGCCTTTAAGAAATCGAATGTCGGTGGTATACTGAGAAATAAAATCGAGATGGCGGGCCTCGCGGGGTGAATACTTGTCAGAAGAAGTAGAGAGGGCATAAGTAAGAGGCTTGTGGTCAGTATAAATACAAAAATCTCGGCCCTCAATATAATTACGAAAATGCTTAATGACTAAATAAATTGCAAGAAGTTCTCTACCAAAAGTGCTATAGCGAGTTTGTGGGGGTGTCAATTTGGCAGAGTAGAAAGCCAAGGGCTGGTTGCCAGTGGGCGTCTGTTGCTGAAGGGCAGCACCTGTAGCGAAATTGGAGGCGTCGGCCACAATTGAAAGTGAGGCATCAGGTATAGGGTGAACAAGGACAGTTGTATCCGCAAGAGCCTTCCTCGCACGATTGAAAGCCTCTACAGCTGTGTCAGGAAAAGAAAACTCACGGTTGTTCCCGCGTAAAAGGTTAGTAAGTGGTAGCATTAATTGAGCAGAATGAGGGATGAAACGTCGATAGAAATTGGCAAGGCCTATAAGACGGCGCAGTTGTTGAAAAGAAGTGGGAGTAGGGAAATCGCGAATAGCTGAAACTTTGGCATCTTTGGGGTGACAACCAGAAGCATCTACGCGATGTCCTAGGAAAAACAGCGACTGTGCGCCAAAAACGCATTTAGAAACATTAATGAAAACGCCAAATTGGCTCAATCGTTCAAAAATGAGACGCAAATGTTGTAGTTGCTCGTGTTCACTGGAACTTGCTACCAGAACATCGTCGACGTAGACAAGAACGAACGGTAGATCGCGGAGGGTTTCGTTGATGAAACGTTGAAAAGTTTGGGCGGAGTTGCGTAGCCCAAAAGGCATCCTGACAAACTCAAACAGACCGAACGGTGTTGTAATCGCCGTTTTGGGAACGTCTTCTGGAGCAACGGGTATCTGATGGAAAGCTTTGACTAAGTCAGTGTTAGAAAATATTGTTGCTCCAGCTAGGCTAGATAAAAAGTCGTGGAGATGGGGAAGTGGATACCTGTCAGGCACAGTGGAGGTGTTTAACCGTCGGTAATCCCCGCATGGGCGCCAGTCAACGAGAGACTTTTTGCACACCATATGTAGAGGTGCAGCCCATGGACTAGTGGAAGGCCTAACTATGCCTGGCTCCATCATGTGGCTGAATTCAGCCTTGGCTATGGCTAACTTATCGGCGGCTAAACGACGGGGACGGCTAAACACGGGTGGTCCAGTAGTTGAAATAGAATGTACAACAGAATGCTAGATAGGTTGGTTTAATTGTGAAGGTCGTGTGATAGATGGAAATTCCGAAAGTAAACGATGATAGGGAGTAGGCGAAGGGATTGTTGAAATGCGTGGATTAGGTGATGAAAGTGTACGAGTGGAACAATTACAATGTAAAGAAGTCCTAGGATCAAATAATTTATGGGACTTAATGTCAATGAGGAGACCGAAAAAGGATATAAAATCAGCGCCGAGAATGGCAGTATGGACATCAGCGATAGTAAATAGCCAACGAAATGAACGTCTTAGACCCAAATCCAGTGTTAGGGATCGTTGACCAAGAGTTTTAATAGAAATATTGTTAGCTACTTGGAGGAAAAATGAAGAATTTGGTGACTTACGGTCAGTCAAAGTGGGTGGGATTAGACTGATCTCCGCACCAGTATCCACGAGAAAATTACGACAGGAAGTCCTGTCATAGATGTGGAGTAAGCGACTGGGAGAGGATGTGCCGACCACGTTTGTCGCCCTTACTGGTCGGCAGGGGGGTTTTCCGACGCGGGTGTTTTATACTTGCACGGAGAGTGGCAGCGATGGGCGTTAGAACCATAATTGTGATGATACCAACAGAAACCACCAACTGTAGGTTTGTTTGGAGTGGGAGATCTCGGGCGGCGAGAAATTGCAGGACTACGAGGGCTATAGGCACGAGTGGCCCGGAGATGGGAAACTTCGAGAGTGAGGGCATCCAGGCGTTTGACGACATCCTCGATTGTGGGGGCAGTTGTGCTCCGACTAGCGACGTTAACCGTAACAGGAGGCTGGTAGTACTCGAGTATACGGTCAGCAGTCTCTGAGAGCATCTGAACAGTCGAAAAAGGAATGTTAGGCGCAAGGATGGCTTGCACAGAAGGAGGCAACCGTTGGAGGAAAAGTTAGTTGAACATGGTGGCATCCAGCTTTTGTCCGTCTGCCAACTGCTCCAAACGCCTAAGAAGCTGCGTAGGCTTCCTGTCACCGAGGTCCTCCTCAGAAATTAAGCGTTGGAGACGTTTTTGCGTTGAGAGGGAAATGCGGGAAATGAGAGCCTCCTTTAGGGCAGTATAAGGGGCTTCTGTGGGCGGGCAATCTATGATGTCGCGGAGGTCGGTGGCGATGTCCATTGGGAGTGCTGCCACAACATAGTGAAATTTCGTATCCTCTCGAGTGATTTGACGGAGGGCGAATCGTGACTCTGCAGTACGCAGCCACAACGCGATGTCACCGAGCCACACGGATGGCAGCTCAAAAGTGTGAATGCCGGCTATCGGCTGGCTGCTAGAATCGCTGGACATAATTAGCCGGGGTCGGTCAGAGGTCAGATAAATGGGGTAAAGGACTAGCGCGTTGACGGTGAGACTGAAGGGTAGCGCTCGTATTGGATGAAAGGGTGAGACAGTGTGAATAGCAAATAAGGGCTAGATGAATAATCTGATCGTAAAAATTAGAGTGAGGATTAATCCGAATGGAAATAGTTATGCACAGAGATTAAACAGAAGGAGCTATGAACGATACAGGGTCACCAGTGTAAGAGACAAACCCACAAGTTGGGCACAGCGAGTAGGCTATCCAGGAAACGAAAATAGCAGTATCCCAACAGTTACAAACTAGTAAATAAAAACAAAGTCGTCGGCAGGTAAAAGTGCACGTGCGTGTTCTTTGTCTTATTCAAAGTTGTGTCAAAGGGTATTGTAACTGATTAAAACAAAACAGACTTAAATGTCACTACAAGTTTACCCCCCAAATGTCAAATCAAACAGTACAATTAGTACGGTGGACTTCACAACAGACACGGTAAGGAAAACTTTGAGTCAACTACAGCCCACTTAATCCCCTGGTCCGGATGGCGTGTTCGCAAAAGTGCTGAATGAACTCTCAGACCAACTGGCCTCTCCGTTATCCAAGATCTTCAAAACTTCGATGGAGACCGGGGCTTTGCCTACCGACTGGAAGAAAGCAAATATAAGCCCCATATATAAAGGTGGCGAGAGAACGGCCCCAAATAGTTTCAGACCAGTGAGTCTCACTAGCATCTGCTGAAAGTTGGTGGAAAAAGTAATAAAAACGGAGCTGATGCGGCATCTCGAAGAAAACAACTTGCTCAGTCTACATCAGCATGGATTTTGAAGGGGTCGATCCTGTCTGACAACCATTTAGTATCCATGGAGAGCTGGACGAAATCAATCGACATGAGCTTATCAGTCGACGTCGTGTACATCGACTTCAAAAAGGCTCTTGACAGTGTTCCACACAGACTACTTATATGTAAACTACGTCAAGTGGGTGTTAATGGAAATCTTTTGAAATGGCTAGCCGATTTTCTTACGGGCAGATCTCAGCGTGTGTGTATCGGAAACGCTAGATCGGAATGGGCATCCGTGCACAGTGGCGTTCCGCAGAGAAGCGTTCTAAGTCTAATTATGTTCGTAATATATGTGAACGACTGCCTGGACTGTCTGAACTGCGAGCGCGTAATGTTTGCCGACGATCTCAAATTGTGGAAATCAATAGAGGAGCCGGAAGACTCTGTACAGTTGCAAGACAATTTAAATCGCTTGCAAAAATGGTGTGATGAGTGGTGTCTTAGCCTCAATCGTAACAAATGCCAACTTATCCGATTACGTTCGAGCAGCAGGAGGCCGTTGAGATTTGAATCTCAGTACTTTATAGGAGGTCACCAACTCGAATCAGTCAACGAGTTAAGAGACCTCGGTGTGTGGATGACGTCAACTCTCAAACCATCGTCTCACTGCGCCAAGGTAGCAAAGAAAGCTATGGGTATTGTAGGCGCGATTAGAAGATCCTTCGTCAATTTTGATGAAGAACTTTTCGGCCGAGTATTTGGCGCATACGTTCGACCAATGTTGGAATACTGTGTCCAGACATGGTGTCCTGACGAAACAACATTACACCCTACTGGAGAACGTACACCGTAGAGCGACCAGGCTAGTCGGCGGACTATGTAGCTTACCTTATGAGAGACGGCTGGAGAAGCTAAAAATATTTCCTCTCTCTTATAGACCGTACAGAGGGGACATAATCATGGTTTTCAGGATCATCCGAGGGCTAGACTGTGCTCTTCAGTTTGACGATTTCTTCGAACTGGCGTGGACGACAAATCTCCGAGGGCACCCATACAAATTGAAGACGAAACATACCAGACTCGATTTGCGAGCCAAATTCTTCTCTCACCGGCTGGTTGAGGGATGGAACAAATTGCCGAACTCCGTTGTCTTAGCGGAAAACGTCGAGACTTTCAAAAGAAGACTAGATAAACTTATGCTTGATGGTCAAACATTTACATGATATCAATGACTGGCATAACTGCTATGTAAATATCTGCATGTTTTATTTTCATACGTCTACCTGTAAATAGGGTTTTAAAAGGCTATGCCTCTACCCCTCATATATACTGAATTATACTATTTGAATTTCTAATTTTTGGTCCGTCTCAAAAGATGTTGTTGAGGGCATCCACATTCAGGCCAAGTCGAAAATTGGGGCCAGTCAGTCATTTAAACATTTGAGTAAAGTAACATGCAGCATGATAAGCGATTTTGATTGAGCTGTCTTTTGAATCCACATGTTTCCGCAGCGAGGTTACTGATAAAACCTGCATAACCGTTAACTGACTAGTCATTAACAAACAAGACCATAGTTTATGGCCTGGGTTGCTTACTCCGGGGTGCGGTTGTGCTAAAGAAGATAACTGTCGATATTTATTTATACGTGCCAGAGAAAGAAATAAATGTTCCTCGAGATGGCTGTTGCGTGAGGATGGTCAATTTGCCTCAAGTTAGTCGCTGAAATATAACTACGACAATGTAAGACCTTTTTGATAATGCCTGCAAAGGGACATTAGGTTCACCCTCTATTATTATTAAACGGTAACGATTGCGTCCCCTTTATATTGATGACAATATAAAGGATCAAAATTCGTGATATCACAAACTTCTTAGATGCTCAGCTCTATTGTTAGACACAAATGGTCACCGGAGGGGGTAACCTCGGCCATAGACCATGCCCCTGCCCATAAAAGTACAAAATCTAGATGGCTCGTTGTTAATATAATAGAAAACTATCATGCGATCTGTAGAAAATAATGCGTTCTGAAAGAAACTTACCGATACTAAACCGAATAAAGTTGGCAACCTGAGCCATCAAGTTTCTTCTGTCGAATCCAAGCGTGGTTTTGGTACGGTTTTGAGGGATGTCACTCATTTCTTAGAACAGATAAGTGGACAATGCAACTTCCTTTTATCTTCGGCAAAACGAGCGTATGCAATCACGTTATATGTTGACTTTGACGCAGCTGGAAGCAAATGCATCCTGGTATTCGTAACACTATCACTATCCTTGGGCTCCAGGCATCATGGTGACCTTATACTTAACATCCTCCGTAGGCTAAAAATCCAGTTTTCCTAACGAGGCCGGTAGATTTCAGGTGGTTGTTCATTCCATCCCAGTATACTTCGACATAGTGATCGCAGTAGGCATTTTCCGAGTATCATCCAAGGAGACACGAATCACCAAGGGTCATAAAGTGGGAACAAACAGGGTATGATACCCCTATTAGTTGACGGTTTCGAAGGTATAGTGAGGTTTATGTGCGACATATCAGATTTTGTATCCTCTTGCATCTCCAAAGTTCGTTCTATTGGCAATGGATAGACGGTAGCGTCTCGTACACGAACTGAAAGATTACTCGTGTAAACTGTCGAAAGTGCAGTGCGATCATTTGGCGCCCAGATTCACATTCGAAAACCATCATTACCAAGCAGTGCACTCGACTCCGTTAAAAAACACGCGGCGTCAACGGAGTCAAAGTCAGACAATCACCTCGTAGCTACTGCGTTATACTGCTTCGCCTGTAAACTTTGTGTCTAACGAACCGAAATCATTAGTAGTAGCTTCTAATGCAAATTCTACACAAAATGACGAGGAAGTCAAACTAAATGGCCGGTAGTTTCACTGGAACTCAGGCGGTTCGTGTTCCAATTTATCACTTCATGATCACTTATATGTTGTCGTTATTTATTTTGCTCTTAGTAAAGCCTTTGATAAAGTGCCACACAAAAGACTCTTGGTTAAATTAGAAGCTATGGGAATTCACAGTCCACTAATAGCCTTTATCAAGTCATACCTGTCTAGTCGTAAAGAAAAGGCTTTAGTGGGATCTTCAATTTGCAGTGGTGTCCTACAAGGCACCATCTTACGTCCTCGTTTGTTCGTGCTTTACATAAATGATATCGCGACGTCAGTTAAACATTCTCAATCATTTGTTTATGCCGATGATCTCAAATGTGTATATTCCTTCAATAAATCTACGAGTCTTCATTGCCTGGAGCAAATCCATGCTGATTTGCTTGCTCTCTCTGTTTGGAGCTCAAAATGGTTAATGGAAATCTCTCCGTCTAAGTGTCGCTGTATGTGTTTTGGACCTGATAGGTTCCCCCATCCAGTGGTTTTCCAAGGCCCTCCTCTGACTTAACGTACCACCATCAAGGAGTTAGATTTAAGCTGCACCGATAATCTTGATTTCTCGCCACACGCTGACAGAATTACGGCCAAAGTTGCCTAGCGCTTTATTTCCACACAATATTTATCGTCCTGAAAGTAAATTAAGACTATCGGGTGTTTGTACTTTCCATTATAGATTATTGTTGCCCATTCTTTGGTTTGATGAACGAGGCTAGTCGTTCAAAAATTGAAAATGCTTGAAAGCATTTTACTACAAGACTCTTAGTCACGGAACATCCAAATATTTCCTATTCAAATAGATACCTGGTAACTAACGTATTTTGTATGGTTCGAAAACTAAGAGCAGGCTTCTGTCTCCTCTTTCGCATTAATAATAGTTCAAATATTAGCAAGGAGGGACGACAGAGAATGCGTCCCTCCTTGCTGCTATTATGACTTGGCCGACTTCGGCCTGGTAATTGGTTGCCTGTTCGTGACCTTTGCCACACATACGGAGCTTGTTTGCTTTGTGAAGCCAATAGATCGGTGTGCGCCCATACCTGATTGAGTTCAAATATTCTTTGGATTTCATCACCTAGCCTTAGTAGTCGCCCATACAATCTTCGCAACTCGTTCCTGATTATACCTCCTCCCGCCTCCTTCACCTCTAGGCGCCCATCTTTTTCGCTTCCAGTTATACTTTCCTCTGGAATAACCTTCCAATTAATACAGGACCTTCAGACAATTTACCCACTTTTAAGAGAAGGCAGCGCCGTTATCTGAATAATGACTCGAATGAACCTTTATTTTCCTCATCCTTCCCGGACAATTTTCT